GGGCTTCATGGCCAGGGCGGGGAGGTGGGGGCCGGCGGGGCGCAGGGCCAGGCTGTGCACCTGCAACGGCAGCGGGTCAGGGCTCGGGGGGCTGGGGAGGTTTGGGGGGGCTGGTGGGGGGTCAGGCAGCTCACCTGGGGGGCGGTGGGTGGTGGGGCGGGCGGTGGGGCCGCAGGAGGGGCCGGCGCGGGGCTCTCGGGCCGGACGGCGCTGACGGGGCCCGTGGGCGTGAAGATGAGCTGAGGGCACAGACGGGGCGGGTGGTCCCTCAGGGCAGGGTGGCACCCCGTGTGTGACCCCCCCTCCCCCAGCAATGTCCCTACAGGGGTGGCAGCCCCATGTAACTGCTCTGTGTCCCTATAGGGTGGCACCCCTTGTCTAACCCCCTCCGTGTCCCTATGGGGTGGCACCCCATGTGTGACCCTCCTGTGTGTCCCTGTGGGGTGGCACATGTGTGTCCCACTAATTGTGTAGGGCAGCATGGAAACCCTGTAGGGTCTGAGCACTCCCAGGGGAAGGGGGGGTACCCTCTAGGGTCCAGACACCCCCTACAAAAGCAAAGAGCACTCGCTTGGACACCCCTCGATGGGGTGATGGGCACCCCATGCAGAGCAACGAGTACCCTACAGGGTCAGGGCCCTTTATAGGGTCCCAGGCACCCCACAGCAAGACCATGGACACCCCCATAGGTCCTGGGCACCCCAGAGCACGACCACGGGCACCCTATGGTCCCAGCCACCCCAAAGTGAGACACAGAATGATGAGCACCTGGTGGGTCTCCCAGCCATCCCACAGTGGGATGATGGGCACTCCACAGGTCCTGGGCAACCCAGAGTGGGATGACAGATATCCTACAGTGGGATGATGGGCACCCCATGGCTCCTGGCCACCCTGCTGAAGGACTGTGGGCACCCCACAAATCCTGGGCACCCCAGAGTGAGGCAATGGGCACCTAATGGGTCTGGACACCCTGCAGTGGGATGATGGGCACCCCATGGCTTCCAGCCACCCTGCTGAGGGACTGTGGGCACCCTCTGGCTCTGGGTACCCCACAGCAGGATAATGGGCACCCCACAGTGGGACAACAGGCACTCAGTGGGTCTCAGTCATCCCACTGCAGGAAGAGGGGCACCCATGGGTTCCAGCCACTCCACAGCAGGATGATGAGCCCACCACAAGTCCTGGGCACCCACTGTGAGTGGGTGATGGATGATGGGCACCCTGTGGGCCCCAGCTACCCCACAGTGAGGCAATGGGAACTCCATGGGTCCTGGCTATCCCACCATGGGATGATGGGCCCCCCACGAGTCTTGGACACCCACAGGAGGGTGAAGGGCACCCTATGGGTCCCAGCCACCCTGCTGAAGGACCATGGGGACCCTATGGGTTCTGGGCACCCCAGAGCAAGACAAGGGGCACCCAATGGGTCTCAGCCATCCCACTATGAGATGATGGGCCTCCCATGGGTCTTGAGCACCCCACGGCAGAATGAGGGGCCCCCCACAAGTCCTGGGCACCCACAACAGAAGGATGGGCACCCTAATGGGTCCCAGCTACCCCACAATGAGAGAATGGGCACCCTAAGGGTTCTGGGCACCACACAGTAGGATGATGGGCACCCAATGGGTCCCGGCTATCTCACTATGGGATGATGGCCTCTCATGAGTCCTGGGCACCCACAGTAGGATGATGGGCACCCTATGGGTCCCAGCCACCCTGCTGAAGGGTCTTGAGGACCCTATGGGTCCTGGGCACTCCACAATGAGGCAATGGGCATCTAGTGGGTCTGGATACCCTGCAGTGGGATAGTGGGCACCTGATGGGTCCCGGCAATCCCACTATGGGATGATGGCCTCCCATGACTCCTGGGCACCCACAGCAGGATGACAGGCACTCTCTGGGTCCCAGCCACCCTGCTGAAGGACCATGGGGACCCTAAGGGTTCTGAGCAACCCACAGTGAAACAACGGGCGCCCCATGGGTCTGCACCACCCCACAGCAGGACAACAGCCACCCTGAGGGTGCCGGCTGCCCCTCACCATGACACCTTCCACACCCCACCTGCCCCACAGTGCCGCAGGGTGCCCCTTACCATCTGTGCCCGCAGGTACATCTGCGCCTGGCTGGCGGTGAGGGCGGGCGAGGCGGCGTTGCCCAGCAGCACCGCCTGCTGCGCGATGCCCGAGGCGCCGGGGCCCACGCTCTGCGCCCGGTTCAGCAGCTGCGCCGCCGCCGGCGACGTCGCCAGGTTGATCTGGAACGGGGCATCGGGACAAGGTCAGGGTGCTGGCACAGGTGGGTGGTGGTGCTGTGCCAAGTGCAAAGGGGGACTCACCGTGGGCTGCTGCGCCGGGGCGGGCTGGGTGCCGTTGCCTGCCGAGGAGCCGCTCTGCCGGTTGGCCGCCAAACTCGCCTCGGGGAAAAGCGAAACGTGAGGGGGGTGTGCCAACCCCGAGCACCCGAGGGTGCCCCCGGGGCGGCCCTACCTGCTGGACGGCTGCCAGGCTCTGGAGCTGGGCGCTGGTGAGGTGCTGCTGCTGCAGGGCGGCCGTCTGCAGCATGAGGTGCTGCTGCTGGGCCGCGTACATCTGCTGCAGGTACTGCGCCGCCGTGTTGGGCTGCCGGTGCAGCGCCTGCTGGATCACCTGTGGTGGACGGGGAGGTGGGCAAACGTGGCCCTGGGCAGCGCCATGACCCCCTCAGAGCTCCCCCAGGAAACCCCCCGGGGCCCGCCGGGGCCGTACCTGCACGGTCTGGCGGTCGGGGATGCTGCTGTACACGGAGATCTGGGGCCCGGGTGGGCGCGTGGCCGCAGTGCTGGCGGCGGTCGGGGCGGTGCCCCCGGAGCTGCTGGCGGGGGCCGGGGCCGGGAGCTGTTCGTTCTCCATGGTGGGGCCAGGCAGGGTGGGGGCACGGGTCAGGCTAGAGCTGGGGGGGAAAGGGGTGAGAGGGGCGCCCTGCAGCACCCTGGGGCTGGGCTACCATGGTGAGAGGGGCATCCCGCAAAAAACACGGCCAGGTGAGGGTCAGGAACCAGGACTGAGGAGGAGGAGGAAGGAGGAAGAACAGCAGGAGGTCCCATGGTTCATCCTCCTCCACCAAAACTGGAGGTAAACACCCTGGGAGATGGGGAATGGGAGGATGGACAGAGGGAGGGATGGACAGGAGGAAGGGAAGGGTGGAGGGAAGGCTGGGAGCAAAAGAGATGGACAGGATGGACTGGAGGAGGAGTGGGATGAAGGGATGGACAGACAAAAGGAAATGAAGGAAGGAGGGAAGGAGAGAAAGAAATGAGGGAAGGGAAGG